TGGCGTGACCTATGCAGGAGGCTTATGTAGTGATACGTGTATGGGTGTGTTTTGTTTTTGAAATTTTGTGTTTGCAATGGATTATAACAAAAATAAAGGGATAGAATGATAGACAACCTAAACCTATAGATTGAATATCGTTGAAAACAAGTTAAGACCTATTAACTTGACTCTATCAAAATCAGGAAAGTTTCCTTCAAATGATGATTTTGAGTGCAATAACAACTCGATGAACAGAAAGTTATTTGATTAAATTTTGATTGATTCCCCATTACAATGATTGTAAATGGCTTATAAACCCTCAATAGTTACAAAGTTGAAAAGAAAATGGTTACAAAGAGGCTTGTAATAAACACACAATAAAGAAAACTACTAAATGTCACTATTGGACTTATTTGTAATGTCTAAATGTTACTAGTGGACTTATTTGTAACTCCTATATCCATAAGTCCATCACATTAAACCACTAATGGTTTATTTATAACTCCCACTCCATAACTCCATCACATAAACCATATACATGCACATCACCATACACACACATCTTGCCATGTCACCCCTTCACGTGGCAAGAAACCAATCATCATTTGTAGAGCCTAAATCATCCATGAATGAATAACCCCTCTCTGTCCCCGCCCCCCCCCCCCCCATTTGAAAGAAATTGTCCTCAATTCAGCAAGTCCATCATCATCATGGAAGGGTGAAAGATCTCCCACGTTAAAGGCAGCATGCATACCGTAATCTCCCTATAATTCTACCTTATATACATTATCATTAACACGTGAAATGATATTGTAAGGACCTTCTTCTCTTCACATCAACTTGTTCTTTATTTTTCTAGGAAAATGTTCGTTCCTCATGTGCATCCGAACCAGATCACCTTCATTAAACACCCTTAGTTTCCTATTCTTGTTGGAATTTTGATTATAAACTTCATTAACTGATTCAATCTTCTCACTACCTTGCTGATGCAACTTTACCATTACCTTGAGCTTATCAATCGCATCGTTATGAACCAATTCATCCTTTGGTAATAGAATCAGATCCAAAGGCATGTAAGGATTCACACCATACACCACTTCAAAAGGAGAGTGAGCAGTAACATAGGTTGGAGACCGATTATAGTCACATTCCGCATGTGCAAGCTTGATGTCCCAATATTTTTGTGTTTTGCTCATCAATCCCCTCAACAAAGTACCTAAAGTTATGTTTTCAACTTCTGTTTGACCATCCGTTTGAGGATGGTGTGATGTGCTAAACAACAACTTTGTTCTCACTTTTCTCTACAAGGTGTTCCAAAAGTAGCTCAAGAACTTTGAATCCCGATCAGAAACAAGTTTTTTGGAATGCCATGCAAACGGGCCACTTCTTGAAAGTACAATTCTTTTACAATGTTTGCATCAATAGTTTTGTGGTTAGAGAAAAAAAATCAAATGTTAGCCTTCCATTAGCCTTTCCCACATGACCATCTCTCTTGTGTGCACATTTCACCAAAGAGTACAAGCATGGGTTAGAAGCATGCCCTTACAAGGCTTGTGTGTGCACTTCCAACTATAAATAGAGGCACTGAGAGCCTCATTTTCTCACTAAAAAATCATAGCTATCAACCTCTAAGTCCCTCTATCTCTCTTGGTTGTTAAAATACCATCACACACCACCAACATCACCAACTTATTCCACCACCAAGACCATCCTTGTACCACCTTGTTGTGACTAAAATTCACACCCAACACCACCTTCATTACAGTCCACTCCCTTCCTTTCTCCCCTCCGTTCATTTTCATCAAGAAAGAAGCAAAAAACGGCAGCAAGAGGCTGTCGGAGCTCTCTGGTCACCATCGAACACCCCAGTGCCACCCTTCACTGCCGACCACCACCACCCTCTGCTGTCGTTGCTTTGTGAGTACTCTACCACCACCATTTAATTTTTATCTGTGTGTTAATTTCTTTCGTATTGTAAGCCAAAGAATCGTTTAGTTATTTCTTTTTTGTGTGTGTTCTTCGCATGGACGACAAGCACATGAGGAAGTGATTACCTCCTGTGCAAACTTCATTTTAATATATTCAAACCCACCCCTCCTCTCGAAAAAGTTTTACAAAACAAATCCAAATGACCCCACACTTCATTACAAAATAATTAGTTTAGCCCCACCCTTAGAATTTCTTCATAAAATAAGTCCTAATTCTTATCCATGCACCTTTCGCATCCATATATAACTTTCGCATCATAAGGACTTGCACCTAAATAGTTCGCATTCGCATCGGGTCTATCAGTAGTTGCGATGGCTTATGACAATTCGCAATCACTCGCAACCATTTCCTTGTTCACACCCAATGACCCTCTGAGGTTCACAATCGCATCCTATAATGATGGCTTGCAATCATTCGCATCCGATCGAATCCCTTCGCATCCAACACCTTTTTCGCACTCACTAACACTTAAAGACTTACACTAGGTTGTGAGCCATTGCGATGATTCACATCTGATCGCATCCATTCACATCCAATCACATCCATCCGCATTCAATTACATTCGCATTTAGTAACATCTTAAGGCTGGAATTCGCATCCCAAAACATCTAAATGTTTTTCAAAACAGATCTCAAAGCCTCAACTTCCATTACATGTAAACCATTTTTGAGAAAATGTCGACAAATAAGTCCAAAACTCAAAGTTGGAATTTAAATAAACCATTTTAGTCCCTTTCTTGGAATATGATTACAATTTAAGCTCCAATTATTGATTATTTTACCAAATCAACCCCATACTTCATAACTAATACCAAATATATCATTTGGTTAAATAGGTAACTAAATTAGTCCCTATGGTTCATTTTTGAAGCAACACACCTCGGTTTCTCACATCATATACTCGAAACAAATCATCAATCTCACGTTAAGGTGAGTGTTACAACTTACAACCCTTCTTTTAAATATTTTCGAGGGAGAATACATTTACTACTTATATACTACTTATGCAAGATAATACAAAAATACACATAAAATATTATTATCTTATGTAGAAGCTATTACTAGTTTATGTAGAAGCTATAACTAGTTTATAAAATATTAGTTTAACTTTTATATGTTATAAACACATAAACTATTTTTAAAACCTTGATATTTCCATATGTTATGTTGATACAACTAATAAAAATAACATATGCTATGTTGCTACAAAACCTATGATTTTATGTGACAGTGTGTGTCATAAAATGCATGTCATGAAACTTTTCAGTATTTTTCTAAAGATTTGAACTATACATGTATATGTACAAAGTTTATACAAGAAACATACTTAGTTTATAAAAGCTAGTGCCTTATGCTATACATGCATACCATTTATGCTCGACTTTTATAAACTCTATACACTTCATTGTGACAAGTAACTACTTATCTATTTATAAGTTAGGGCTGAGAGTTATTCACATACCTTAGTTAAGGGATTTTTAGTGAGACTATATTCTTAGTTGAGTCTAAACACTTAGCATACCCACACTACTATAACCGTTAATCTTCGGAGAGAGATACATATGTATAGATCTATATTGGGTTGACATCCCCACCTGCGGTTGCTAGCTACAACCTCGACCGATCAATCGAAGCGGGTGATAATGTCTACTATCGTTACTATGGCGTATAATGAAGCAACGTAGGGGGTACATACAGTCACATAGCTTGGTTATAGGACTCACTTTAAATATTAACTAGAATCTCTCTCTTTTACTACAAAACCATGGGCTTGGTTGTTTTCAACACTATTTTTAAGTATGGATTTACTTATGCAAAGATACATTTGGTTTTTTTAGAACTTATACAAAGACACTTTATAAACATTGTTTTAAGCATGGTTATACTTACAAAGGAAATACTTTTTAGACTTTTTTTTAAAAGTATCACTGTTGTTAGCAGAAAACCTGTGACTCTTACCAACTTTATGTTGACCCTCAAAATTACATGTATTCTTAAAAATCAATAACTCAAGCACTCAGAGGACAAATGAACATGGATTTCAAGCAATCTAGTTTACTAGCTTTTGTTATGTATGCCTATATGTTAAGGAAATTCATGTACTATCATTATTATCTATAAGAACCTTGTATTTAAACTCAAAGATGGAATACAAATGTTATTTTGTTTATTATTGTACTTGTGTTATATATTCAGTTTACCTGTGATCCATGAACTTAGTCACACAGCCCGACATGTTCCGCCACCTCGGTCTGGGCTGTGACAGATTGGTATAAGAGCTACATTGGCCATAGAGTACTCGTATCCTCGAAAGAGGAAATACAACTATAGCAAGAAGCTCCTAATAAAAGTATTATTATTAATTACACTACTTCTTGGCTACGTCCGGTACGGGGAATCTAGTTTTATGGGCCGCATAGGATTGTTAGATTCAGAACAACTTAATTGCTAAAATGATCATGCCCTCCGGTGTTTCCTGTATGGCCCTCGTCTGTACTTAATAGTCTTGGTGTACAAAAAAATTAATATAATACAAACCTCGCCAACACTAATATATAAGAGTTATATATATACTCTGAACCAGGATGAGAACACTTAATAAAAATTCTAAACATCCCTTCAATTAAAACTACCAACTCAACCCTTTAGGTCAGACGCCTCAACTAAGATTAGTACCGTACATAAACGATACCACAAATAAACCTGGAACGCATGTCAGATCATAAAAGAATTTGTAAATATTAAGTAGTTTTGTGTACACATTCTGGTTGTGAATATTATATACTCACCAAAAGTTGTCGAATGGAATGTTGTTGTGTCATCCACAACGTTTAATTTTCCAGATACAATTGTAGAATCCTTACCATCTTCGATCATCATGACATTCCATTTTGGTTTTTCGACCCTAACATCTTCAAAGTAAATGCCCTTCTTCACATATATGACAAATCTTTTCTTGTTCTTATCAGGAACTACCTTTAGAGCGTCAAAAATTTTCTTGTACTTGTTGGTGCCATCTAGAGCCACCACTCAATCGGCCTTGATTCCAGCCGGTAAGTTTGTCTTCTGTAGGCGCTTCCTGTCTTTGGCAGACAACCATTCTGGCATTTCATCATTTCTAGATGCCATGCTCATCAATCTTCTTCTTGTGTTGAAAGAATTTGTGACACATGAAAACCCCTTTGTGATCGCAAGGTCGTTGCTCGTTAACTCAGTGGACTTTTTAAGGTAGTCTACACCATTTCCTTGAATACTATCTATGCATGTTTGCTGATACGTTCCAGCAGCACTTAGCCATGTCATTAGATCATCTAACAGAAATCCTATTTATTTAAAATCAATATCAGTTGATACCGTTTAGATGATCAATGGCAATATCCATTAGTTCGCTGCAGCATCTGAGCTCCACAAGTGTGGATGCTTTGGAAAGCTCTTCCATGGCGAATAAGAAAGAGAGTTTGAGTAACTCATCAGGGTGGATATTGGTGGAATTAACAAAATGAGCAAGAGAGTTATAACAGCTATCTGGATACAATGTAGTGTCACAAACGACTTTCATAGAAACCATAGCTGATGGAGATTGTGACTCACTACCATTTTGGCTATGGTCTTTGCTCTGTGTAGTTCCAACAACGGATAAAACTACCACAATAACAAGAACTAGAGATGATATGGCCACAACAACCATTCTTTCTCTATTTTTTCTGCGAGCATCGACCCACATTTGATCGGCTTCACCCACTTTCCCATAGGATTTGAAAGAATTCATAGCTTTTGGTTTGAATTATTTCTTGTATGTAAAATTTTTTTGTTGTCTTTCCAACATTTGATAATGTTGGCATTTTATAAAGAAATAATCATGACAAAAGAAAGTTGAGATACGTGCACAACACCATGGTATGGTGTTTAATCAACGTCTGTTTGGTTCTCATGTACATTGATGCGAGTTGCATACATTAAAAATGCTTAAAAGAAAACAACAGTTGACATTCAACTCGCATATGACATCAACTAATTCTATCCTACCTTTTATACCTACAAATATTCCTAGTCATTAAAATTATGACATGTGTCACCATTCCATATTTTTTTAACTATCTTATTAAGAGTATATTAGAAATATATCAAATAAAATTAAATTGAATGGTGTAATGATGACACGTGTCATAATATTAATGGGTAGGAATATTTGTAGTCATAAAAGTTAACAATCAATTTAATTTCTCATAATATAATTACTCTTGTTGCATAAGTATCTATAGCGTTCCTTCAATAATAAGTTCAACCTTCCTGCCTTTTACTTCTTCCTAAATTTCTAGCAAATTATTTATTATTAATCACATAAGATCTCTATTACATAATTTATAAATAATAAGATGATTTAGGTATCTTAAAACTACTTAAAAGACTTTAATATGGGCTAACATAAAAAATACAAAAATAGGAGATATATAATCACCGTCTGAATCAGACCGAAATAGACTCGGTCTTTTACCCAATCCGGTAATATATATATATATATCTATATATATATATATATATATATATATATATATATATATATATATATATATATATATATATATATTATATATATATAAAAGGTTACGTTCATGTGAGACCACTATATTAAGTGAGACGGGGAGACGCAATCCTAGCCACTCATTTTGTACATAAAAAACATTTTTAAAATACAAAATAAATGAAAATTTTCGATTTTTTTAAATATTATTTTCGTCATTTTTTTATCCAAAAAAAATAAAAATAAATAAATAAAGTTACCGTTTTTTTTAAATATCTGTGTAATATTCTAGTAGAATATTAGAACATTTTACATATCTGACAAATCTAATAAAATACTAGAATATTCTAACATTTTAAAAATCACATTAGAATATTTACAGTGTAATATTTTAATTGAATATTTCATGTATTTTTCAAAAAAAAAATGCTAATTTTTATTTATTTATATTTATCTTTACTTTTTATTTTTTTAGGTAAATAAAATGACGAAAATAATAATTAAAAAAAAAGAATTTTCGGATATTTCCTTTTATTTTGCATTTTAAAATTATTTTTAGATTGCGTTTCACAGTCTCACAAAATTAACATGGTCTCAAATGAACCTAAACCTATATATTAGATATATATATATATATAGATATATATATATCTATATATATAGATATATATATTATATATATTATATATATATTATATATATATATACTTTAAAGTGTACAAAGCAATTGGTTAAATAAATTGCCAAATTTAATTGTGTAATTGTACATATAGTATCGAGGCATTCTTATGGAATTAAATTACAAAGAATGTTACTACAATCAATATCCACTACATATTGTATTACAAAGTGTTTCAATTATAAAAAAGTGGTTGTAAGCTCTATGAGGGTAAGGTCAAGAATATATATATATATATATATATATATATATATATATATATATATATATATATATATATTCACATGTGTCCATAAATAAAATATAATTCTTAAATCCACATGTGTCCGTTCGTAACGAGACTTGAACCATCAACCTCAATAAGGGAAGACAACATCAGATACCGTTAGGCTAGAAGACCTTTGTATATATATATATATATATATATATATATATATATATATATATATATATATATATATATATATATATATATAAAGCTTTGTGTTTAATGTTTGTCACGTGTCAATATATCAGAGCTCTTTTAAGAGTTTGCCAGGTAACAATATATTTAATGCAATCATTTAATATGAAATCATTTAATATAATAAAGCATTTAATTACAATTATATCTTCCGTTCATACCATAATTACCTCCAAATGTATGTTACTATTTAGCTTAAAATTTATACAAACTCTCTACATATTAAACATATAATTAGCTAACATAAAATATCAAATTTAAAAAATTAAACATTTGCAGGACATAATGCTTATATTCTTTTTTTTTTAAATCGCAGTTCCTATTTTTTTGTGTAACTATATCACATAAATGAGAAGATTTTGATTTCAATTCCATTTTTTTATGCTGTTAAATAAGTAGATTTTTATTTCTACGATAATATAAACCATCAAAACATGAATTTTCTCTACAATGGTAACACCTCAAATTTTAGACCGAATTTTTCATTTTTAATTTACCAAAAATAAAGTTTCACAAACCAATTTATCAAATACATAATTATCCAAAACAACCATTATCACAAAATATCAGTGTTCTCAAACAGTTCCAGTAACAAATCTCCCAACGAGTGTGTACAATCAGACATTCGCCTTCCCGCGGTCCTCAAAAGTACCTGAAACACATAAATAAACAATTTTAAGCACGAAGCTTAGTGAGTTCCCAAAGATACCACATACATCACAACATAAATAAACAACTATGGGTTATCAGCAACGCTGGGGACTAACAGCAATCCCAGTGGCAACAGCACGCCCGATGGGTTATTAAAAACCCTGGAGACTATCCGCATTCTGAATCACACATATGCAACATAATACAAAATAATAGGTAGACCCAACTAGTCATCACATATACAACTATTATACCACATAGGTAATAATAAGTGAGGAGACTTACCAGATACCTACGACAAGTAAATCTTACACCCAAACTCTCGGAACTAGACTCCAGCTAGTCAACGAAATAATTAACCCTAATTAATAATTAAGGTCTAAAACTCAACTTGTGAGGTCAAATCCCATAACTAAGTCCTCTAAGGGCATAAAGACCATTTTGCACTTCTTATGGTCCAAAAACCTAAATCTTGACCAAAAGTCAAAGTCAACGAAAGTCAATTGCCCAGCGCATACGCTGTGCGTACTCTTCCTTACGTGGGGCGTACTACACGATCAGTGACCAATCGGGGATGGAACCGGCTATGCAGGGCGTAGCCAAGAGTACGCCCGACGTACTCCGTCTGATTCAACTTTCACCAACTTGTTGTCTTAATCCGCAAAGACATCTAACCCAACTTCAGATCTGACCATCCTAAGGTGTTTTAATCCGTAAAGTCGTCGACTTTAAGCCTTTGCATGGCTATGAATGACCCAATGCAACAAACTTTAACTTTCATCACACTTTAAGTTACTTTACTCATGCATGGGTCATAGGAAATAATCAAGCAACCATTTTTATGAATCTACAAGTCCTAAAATGCATGAAAGGACATCTAATATTCTCTGGAGTGCTCCAAACTCATAAAGGTCTAATCTTGGGGACAAACGCTCATAAAACTCAACCATGGAGATCAAATAGGAAACTCATAAAGGTATAAAATTTATACCTGAAAAAGATGCACAACTAGGAAAGGTTTCTGGATCTACAAGCTTGAAGCAACAACTCCTTCTTCTCTAGCCTCCTTCTTCAACAATATGTACCAAACTCACTTAATAAACTCCTAAAACTCACACAAACAACTTAGACTCGAAATTAGGGTTTGAGGAGGGAATGGTGGTTGATAAGGATAGTCCAAAAGGGATATAAGGTTGTTTAAATAGGTAGCAACCCTTAAAATTAGGGTTTAGTGACTGGGCTAGTACGCCCGACGTACCACACATACGACCAGCCTACTAGCAGATCATCCACGTTTCCACATTACACAAGTCTGCTGCGCGTACGCTCAAGTACGCCCAACGTACGGCCAAAATGCGAAGCCTTTTTCCTCAAGGGACCAATTGTGCAACTTTTTGATAAATTTAAGAGCAATAATAATAATACATGATATTCGTGTTGGGATTTATGTATACTACAACATCCTGTGATGCAAATACAACCCTAAATGCTTTGGATCTATGTTTTCTCTAGTTATACATGCAATATTTTTTCAAAAGCATAAAGCCTACAACTAGCATACAATTGACATAAACAACATAAAATACTAGTTAGGAGTTTACCTCTTTATGTAGCTTGTAGAACTTGTTGTATTTGGCCTTTAAGAACTTAGCACCCCAAGTGTGATGCCTCAAACGGTTCACAACACACCTAGGACAAAGGAGAACTTGAGAGAATGGTTGCTAGCTTCAAAATCGGCTCCTATGAACTCCAAGAACATGTCTAGCCGATTTTAGGGTATGAAAAATATATATATAGTGTAGGATTCCAGAGGTCATGGGTAAACCCTAATCCATACACATGGGTTATCATCCATGGTTCATGTGGGCTAACTCTTTATGGATCCTTACTTAAACTTAGTCCAACATGGATCAATAGCCCAATCCATATGTTTCACTAATTAGCATAATTAGTCCCCATTAATTTAATTAGTCTATTTTGATCACAAAAATTAATTCCAAATTAATTCTTGATCAATACTAATTAAATCATATGATTTCATATTAATATATTAGAACTTATAAAATTAATAAATCATAAATAACCTATTCTCAAAAGTCCATCCTAACAAATTGTCCTGGTGATATGCAACCCGAAATGGACCATGCTACTCTCGGGTCAAGTACATACCAATTATAGTTATGAGCTTAGACACCTAATCTAACAGTCTCCCACTTGGATAAGTCTAATACCTATAATTGCAAGTACGACTCCAAAATCCCGACTAGCAATCGTAGCTCTTAAAAGTCGTTGCCGAACTCTGACCTAGTCAATGACGTATCCATTAGATAAGGGATCATATATTCCTCCATTCTAAATATCGTATGGACATGAGACATGGATTATAATCATTCTCTCTGTCCATCTGTTGTTTCATGATTTTCGATTTATGTAGACCGACTAATTGAACAAATC